GGCGGCGGCGGAGGTGGTGGCGGTGGAGAAGGTAAAATATTCTAACTTTCAAAATAATTTATTTTTCACCTCTTATACCATATACATAAGTAAAATATTTAATCTCATTTTTTATATTTTAGGTGGTTTTTCTGGAGGAGGCAGTGGCAGCTCATGTACCGGTGATGGCTGTGCTTCTGCTTATGTAGTTTTGGGTATTGTATATGGTTCTTTTTTTGGTATTCCGATTCTACTAGGTTTGGCGTTCCTTGGTGTTAGTTATTGCATTAACTACAAGAAAGGCCGCCCATTCAAAACAAATGTAGCATTTATTAAGAATGATACCACTGAAAGTGTAGTATTTATCAAGAATCATACTACTGAAAGTTGTAATCAAGAAAAATCTGATACTAGTATGTTTAAATCTGGTTATTGGAAAAGTCAATATTTTCAATATGGAAAATGGCATGGACCTTGTCGATTTTCTCTTACATTTGACACTAATTCAATGACTGTCAAAGGAACAGGATCAGACGATATAGGCAAATTTACGATCAATGGAATCTATTCGCCCGAAACAAATCGATTAGGTTTATCGAAAAAGTATCAAATAGGTACTGGTGATAGAAATGAAAACTTAGGACATACAGTTATAATTCAGTTAACATGGAATAAAGCATATAAACAATTTGAAGGAAAATGGTATGTTCGAACAAATAAATACCATGGTGACGATAAATTTGAGCTCAAATTTGATGGTCACCACCTATCAACTGTATATGGAAAAGTGTAAAATATGATTATCTTCTAAATTTATATTTTTTTACGAGAAACTATTTATATTAAACTATATATTATATTATTATTCTAGAAACTAAATCAGATAGAACTAAGTTTGTATGGTAACCGAGGAAATAGTACAAATTTTTTTTTAAATTAATTGAATAATTTTGACTCAATATCAAAATATGATTTTTTTTGTATGTTAAAGTCTCTTTAAAATAAAATAATATTTGAATAAATAAATGAGTCATATTCTGAATGAATATTACTTCCTTTCTGTGTACCCCCACCTTTTTTCAAGTATTCTTTTTTTTCTGTAATCGAAGATAAGTTTTATATGCGAAAATATTTCCTACGTAAACATTCTTTCTTTACACAAAACAATTGCCATCAAGAAAGATTTCTAATTACGTGCTATGTCTGATAATACACGATTTAATTACAAAGAACATTGGTAAGAAATAGAAATTATTCTTGAAAACGTCAATTAATTTTGAACTTTTTTCTTTATTTTTTTAGAAGTTAAGTAGTGACGCTAAACCAGTTCACAATCATTTCACATCTATTATTATTACATATATTTATGAAAATAGTTTGGCACATAGAGATAATCATCAGAAGAGATTTAGAATTGTAGTAAATATAACAACATATCTGTATTCAGTCTTTTGTACAAAATCTGAAAAGAACAGAACAGAAAAGTTTGAATACAAATGATTTTCGGATAAAACTAAAAACAGGAGAATCAATTTAATAAAACTAACATATTCGCTCACGTCTAGATTCATCCTCATACATACGTATTTAAATAAACGAATAATTCACATAGAAAAACTTATCAATTATGGAAAGCAAGTCCGTTCTCGACATGATGGACGAAGCCACAGACATCGATCAGTAGTAGTTTTTGCTATTGGCAGTGGTGAATCAACTTCACTAAGACCAAGAATAACATGCCAAAGATGTTCTAGAGTTCCTCCAAACCATTGAATATCTTTTAGCCCATCGGTATTTTCGGTTGGAGTTGTGCAATAAGGCTCTCGAATCATGTCATATAGCTTCACCCATTGTTCGTACGTATAATGATGAATACGTGCTTTCGTCACATAGAACTGAGCACAACAAAATGCTGAAATCAAATTTTCGTCTTTTCTTTTGAGATCGTTAGGATTTAGTATAGAATCAGCGAAATAACCAAATGAGTATAGAATACGTTTAGCACATTTATACATCAACGCAATATTATCACTTGGATCTCTAGGCCAATATGTCCAACTTCGTTTCTTAATAAATTCTCTATTATCGTTTACGCTAGCAAATTGAACATCGTCATGGAAGCATAGAGCAGATTGAATAGGATCAAGCTTAGTATGAACGAAAGGATTTCCATGAATAAATAACATTTTATCCGGTAAATCATGATAATAATCATGAATAAATTGTAGATAGACACCACTTTCTTCTCGAATGTTCATACAATAAGGATAATTATAAGGGTATTTCGAAGATGGATCAAAACGTTGATAAAGATGAACATGATAGGTTCGAGGTTTAGTAGCATATAATTCAAGTCCTTCACGAAGCCAAGAAGACCAATTTGAAGGATTAGTCCAATTGATTTCTTTCCATATTGCTGGTACAACAACTAATGTATTTCTAGGCCATTTACTCTGTGTTGAGCTTATATTCCATGATAATATATTACTTGATTTAAGCGGAATAGTCAGTAGTGATTTCTGTATCTTCTTACTATTTATGATCAGTAGCCATACAATAATAAGTAATCCAAAGATAATACAGATTATGAATGGAAAACTAAATAAATAAAATATGAATTTTCTAACATAATTATGTTTTATATCGTACTTATAGAGAAGTAGTCATATTTCAAAAAATGCAACTGTCCATTATGAATACATACTATTAGAAACTGTCAAAGAGTTTTCATTGATAAAATTCTGTAAAGTAAGGTAACTTATGTAATTAAAATATAGAAAAACTCTAAAAATTCTTATTGTGTCAGTTAGTAGAAGATTTTATATATGTATAGCTGACGAAAATAGTTTATTAAAAATATATATTACTCATAAATTTTAAAAGATATTTATTCACCTGAGTTTTTTCTTTACCATTTGAACCAAGAAAATTAGATCAAGCTATCTAAAACAAAAATACAACAGAATGACGGATGTTTTGTCCTTTCTTGTCTATTTTAAGTGTGTAGATAAGCATTTCTTCATTAACGAATGTAATTTTCAAGAATTGTATAATCCTAAAAAACCAAAAAGTGTTCACGTTATTCTCAAATTTACAATTGTCGATGATGAAAGAGAAAGCTTCCGAGCAATTGATTTACGTATTAATGGACATGTTGCAATGGCTTTTTTTATTTGTTGAATGTAGAAAAAATAAAGTAAAATTGGATAAATTTTCGGTCACGTTTTTCTTTTATTATCGAGAATTGTGAGTATGTATGAAAGAAAAAATCTTGTTGTTTTTCGTTGTCAATTTAACTTTGTGATTGATTATGACGAAAGCGTTTCTATTTACAAACAAAATTCTACTAAAAACAGAGTTGCTATTTTGACACATCAGAAAAACAGTAATAAAGCCTTGAAAAACGTTGTATCTTGAACAAGACAAGTATCAAAGGAAGTTTATAGAAAAATTAATTAACTAAAAACACAAGATATTTCAGATATGACTGTAAGAAGGTAAGCCACACAAGTAAATGTATTGCACTTTGCGGTTATTTTTTTATAAATGATGAAATGAAATGTAACAACATATTTCTTATACATAATTAATTCATCTTTTATTTTGCTTGAATTTATTCACATGCTGAAGGACTTTTTTTTTCTTGATTTTATGCGCAATTGTTTCAAAATATTCTAACTAATCTAATCAATCAAGAAATTTTAAGATCATTTATTCACTGTACTTATCAGTAATTCTGTTGGTAGCGTGTATAAAAATTTGTTTGATCATTGTCGTGAATATTTTTATTGTATAAAATTTAATAACCTTGAATTTTAATAGGTTCTGTTTTTTTTACAAATCTTGTAAACTTCATTTCTTTAATATAAAAGACAATAAGAACTGCAACAATTTTCATTGTCATTTAGTTGTCGACCAAAAACAAAATAATTAGATCGAAATATGACAATATTGGCACATTTATAATCGAAAGAATTATATTAACGAGATAAAGACGATCTATTGTAATAGTTCAGTGCCTGGAACCGAATACTCGGTACATTTTAGTTTATTATTGATAATAATTTCCCTGAATACAAAAAACTTTTCCAATAGGTCACAGATAATTGAATATATAGTATTGAATTTTGATAATAACTACAAGTTCATATATTGTTTTTAATATGTTATTCAACAATAATATCGAAAAGAGTTTGTCATACGGGTAAAAATCATAAAAGGAATCATTTTAGTGAGCTATTTGTTTCTTTAGTTTATGATCATTTTATTACATGTTTAGTCTATTACAGTATACCATGAAAAATATCATAACAAAAAACAAATTGATCTAAAACATCGTCTCATGAATACAGCTCATTACTCTTATAATACTGCAAATGTTTATACTCAAACGGAAATTATCCTTCTAAGATAAGATGTTTGCTATAAATACTTCGTCACAGTCTGTTTTTTATATGTTCGATCTCTTGTCAAGATATCCTTTTGTTCAAGTTCACAGCTACAGAGTATTACGGAAATTGACTGTTACGATACTGGTCTTAATATCTAATAACACGACTTTCAAATGATATTTTACTTGAATAGAATCCAACATATGAAACTCTCTTGTTGTTACAATCAGAATGAATACTATATCATATCCTGTTCTATATACAAAATAACAGAAAATTGTTAGTACTCTACTCTATTTTTGCTCGGAGGTTGATAACATAAGGTATATTAGTAACCTTTTTAAATAATTTAGAATTGTAACGCGATAGCTTGATTATAACAAATGAATAATATGTGCATGATATAGATAATTTTTACTATAGTTTAAATTTCATTAAAAAAAAGAAATATGACAAGAATCCAACGCATGTATATCTAATAATAGAAAAGGTGAAAAATATAATTACATATGTGTCATGGTCTATTGATATTTATCAGTCATATGAATAATCAAAATATTAATATTTCGTAAGTTTTGACATAGCAATGATGCATTTAAAAAATATCAGGAAAAATCTTTAAATACTAATATAATGATATGACTTAATTAACATTCACCGTCTTTGTTTAGATAATACACAAATAATATAAAAGCTTCTTTTCTTTTCTTTTTTGTCCTCCTTAGTTCAACAAATAACGTGTTAGTTCTATGAACATCGTAGAAAAAAAATCGAGAAAAAAAAGGTCGTCAGTGCTGTCTATCTTTTTTTTCTTTTTGTGATTCTGTTGCCAACTAACTATGGTTAAGATGTGATCGCTTATAACTAAAACGGCGCGGTCATATATGCGGAAAATTCACTTGCTTGTTCTAAAAGAAAAGCAAGAGTGCGCGCTAACTTTTTTTTCTTCATATTCATCCATCACCACAGCTGAAGAGAGTGAAAGAAAAGAAGGAAAAAAAAAGCTCTCTTTTATATTTAAACAACAAAACAATAGAGAAAAGCATCACACATTATATCTAAGCATATCGTGTAGAGTATAGATATATAGAATTCGAACGTTGGTCACTCAGTGTATTTTCGTCACATGTCAAATCTTACGTCGTAAGTTAAATTATTGAATAAATATATTATATATTCTTTTATATACTATAGATTTTCATCGATGACGACTATATTACAAACGTCAAATATCATTTGGCAAAGTGTTAGTCTAACCGATGAACTTAAAATTAATCTTGAATATGATACTCGTCGTGGATTACTGAATATTTTTGTGAAAAATACTAGCAATAATAAAGAAGTACCGTGTTGTATTAATGTTCTATCAAATCAAGCTGAAGATGATAAAATAGTATCGAATTCGAATGTAATTTCGTCTGATATACAACAAGGTTTGTTTATAGAATTATTCTATTTGTTGTTGTTATTATTATTGTTATTATTATATTAGATGTTCTATCTGATGATGATGATGAACCAAAGATTTGTTATGAATTATCGACAATTTATAGTTATGATATAATTGATGAAAATGAAATTACTGAACAAATTGATTTTAGTCAAACAGAAATTACTTCTTCTTTATCGTCATCATTATCATCATCTTCATGTTTTGATGAACAGACAATAGATAATGATGATGATGGATATTCCACGCATTCACTTGATGATGTCGAACAGCCACAACATCAACAACAATGGCTAGCAATTCCTCCATCTAAATTAATTATACCGTCCTTTTCATCTCAACATCATTATTATGATTATTATTCCGAACAGTATGTTTCACCTATTCGTCGACTAATTGAACAACTGACATGGTTAAATCCATTTAAGAAGACCATGCATGAAACTATGATAATGAATCATATATTTGATTGACTAATTTCGAAGTCATCAACACTTAGAAAGTTATTATTTGTATCTGTATATTTCTGTGTGTTTATTATATGTATGTTGCATGCGTATGTGACTTTCGTCAATATTATTTTTTGTAAGATTTAAGTAACGCGTTACGGACAGGTAGTCATTATTAGAATATGAGTCATCAAAACCAGCATATTCTCAAATCATTGCAAACTAAAGGTAAAGAAAAAGAAATTTTAATCCTGTCTGTGTGTCACCATCGATATTAAAAAATGAAAAAAAAATATACATCGCTACAATTTTTCTTTTCTTCATCTTTATATTTTTTTTTTCGATGTTATAGATTTTATTAACTTACTTACATGTACTTATATTTTGGTGAAGACACGTATATATTTCTATTGTAATGAATAAATTAGAATATATATATGTTAATGAACATTTAATATCACCATCACTAACTTGTCCAATATGTTTGGACATACTTGAAGATCCACATACACATATATTATGTGATAGTGCATTTTGTCGTTCATGCTTATTAAAATTACCCGAACCAGTTTGTCCAATATGTCGATGGAATTGGAATGATACATTATTTATTGAATATAATAGATATCTACCGAAATCAAGTCGACTTATTCGAAATATGCTTGATGAATTACAAGTTCAATGCGTACAATGTCATACTATTCGTCGTCGAGGACAATTTGAACATGATTGTCAACCAATTATAAATCCTTTACCAGATAATACTAATCTATGGAAAAATATTCAATTAGTTTTATCTGCTTTCGTAATATTTTTATTTATTTTATTTATTTATTCATATCGAAATTTTATTTTTGAACCAGCTGTTGATCGTCGTAAGGATTTAATTAGTGGAATAGGTATTAATATTGATAAATATCTATTTGAAAAAATTTACTATTTAATAGTTACAATTATTGAATATTCTATACCCGTTTTTATATTTAATTTATTTCTTTGGTTTAGTATATTATTTTACGGTGATCGTTTTACAACGAAAACAACAAAACAAGTATTTAAAAAAATTCTTGAAATATCAATTATTATTAATCTTATTACATATTCAATTTATTATTAGAATATTTTTTACAATATAGGAAATAAAATCTGTTTTTTTTCTCAATAAAATGAATCAATCAAGATGAATAGCTTTTATAAAATCTTGTTGAGTTTGTTTTGCTAGTTGAATCAGATTATTACGATCATGAACATGTTGTATCAATAATTCATTGATATTATTAACAGTAGGATATTTTTGTACATTATTATCAACAATAGATTCTAAATCGAAATCACTTTTATATGGAATATTTGCTGCTGAACCATATCGAATTGGTAAATAGCTTGAATTTACAGGTTTACTTTGATTATTAATTGTTATTGATTTTTCCTCGTTCGGTACTATATCAAAAAAAAATAAGAATAATATTTGGTTTGAAAAAATAATAAACCATGTTTTCATTTCTATATGACTTACGATTAATAGAATCGGATGGTTTTTGAATATTCATCGGTGACGTGTCATATAAAATTTCAAAATCATCATTATTCAAATTTGTCTGTTGAGTCATTGTAAAAAAAGATGAAATATCAGGTGAAGTTTTATTTTTACAGTTAAACAAAAAAAAACAAAAGGTGCGTAGTCGTTTTATACTCCTCTTCAACAGATGACGCAAAATTCATAAAAGAAAGAAAATATTTGTTGTCTGTGTCATACGTGTTGAACAAGAAAAAAAAAGAGAATAGTAGCAGCGAGTAGTTTCGATCTACCGACCTCTGAGTTATGAGCCCAGCACGCTTCCACTGCGCCACGCTGCTATGCTTCTTTATAATCCAATTTAGAAAATCATCTTAATACGTCATAGTTTGTTAAATTCTATAAGAAAACCAGTATTTTATTATATTTTACAAAAACAAAAAATATTTCGAAATGAGAAATGTCTTAAGAATGAACAGTACATTTCGGATGACATGTTTTAATACAATCATCTGGATATTTTTCATTAAAAATTCGACAAAATCCATATGCTTTTTGCATTAAACAATCATCTCGTCGATCAATACATTTTTCTTGTTGTATATTTGTTATTGTAGTTGTTGTTATCATTATTTTTTTATCATCAGATAAGATTTCATCATGAAATAATGTTGATATATCTTTTAAACGTTGTACAGGCAAACATTGACCACATGAACGTTGACATGCTTGAGGTACGGATAGAAAATTATTATCAACAAGTATTGTATAACGATTATCACAGTATTCATTACGTAATTGATAAATTGAACAATAAGAACTTTTATCAAAACATGAAATACCTTTTTTTGCAAATATATATAGAAATATTTTATAAATTTAATAAAAAACTTACATTGATATTGACTTCCGATTTGTTCACATCGTTCAGTTGATAAACATGGATTAGTTGCACATGCATCTGCATACTAATAGAAAAAAAATTTCATTTGAATGTAGAAATCATAGAAATATTACTTGACAACGATCACCAATTTTGCCTGTTGAACATACACAGACGATATTATTTTGTGTAGCAGTACAAAGACCACCATTACATGATGTAGGTGAACAAAGTGTTGCTAAACAAGAAACAATATATTTTCTCACATAAAAATCTTTTATTTACCTTCACAATGATTTCCTGTGAATCCTTGAAGACAAAAACATTGTGTAGATAATGTTCCATTCGTATTATATCGACTAAAACAAGTGCCACCATTCAAACATGGATTTTGTTTTATACATGGATTTTCTATCAAATAAAAATAGTTTATCTATTCATTTAATATCATTCTCTATTTACCATATTGACATGATGGTCCAACATAATGTGATGTACACATACATATTCCATTTTCACATGTACCACCATTTATACATTCTATTGGACAACTATCATTTGTAGATATATTCAATGGAATTTCACAATATTGACCACTATATAAATGTGAACAGGTACATGTAAACGAAACATTTGTTGTATTAGAAATAACTGAACAAACTCCATCATGTTCACATATTGGATTATAACAAGGATTATCTAATTAATTCAAAAAAATCTTAATTATAATCATATAGAAGAAATTTCTTTACCAAATTCACAAAATGTTCCTGTGTATTGAGCTGGACAAACACATACGTCATTATTACAAGGACTTCTAGAAATATATATTCAATAAATAAATCATTTTTTTTTCTTGTAATAAATATATATATACCCATTCATACATAATCCTCCACAAGGATTAAGCATAGATGTTTCACATCGATTTCCTGTATAAGTTCCAATACAACGACAAGTAAACCATGTATCTGTTTGATTCCAATTTGCTTGACATACACCTTGATTTAAACATGGTAATGATAAACATGGATTATTTCGTTCACATTGTTCACCAATAAAATTATCTTGACATATACATGTATATGTGTTATTTGATGTTGATAATGCACAATAACCACGTGTTTGACAAGGATTACTAGCACATGGATTACTTTCGATTAAAATTTCACAATATGCACCTGTAAATCCTTCACGACAAAGACATGAACTAATAGGTGGATCAGTATTTGATGATATACATATACCCTCATTATGACAATTAAATAATGATGATGAATTACATGGATTATCTAAAGTAAAATTTAAAAACTAAAGATTAATATATATCAGTTGTTACTTTACCATATTGACATAATGTACCAATTTTATTTCCTTTACAGATACATACAGGTCCTGTTGATTGTTCGGTACAAGTTTTATATGCAGGACAAACCATATTTGAACATGAATTGATTACTAAAATCAAAGATTAAAAAATTCTTTCGATAATTCTTTTATTATTTTACCTGTATCGCAATTCTGTCCATAAAATCCAGGCGGACAAATACAACGATAAGCTGACCAGTTATTACCTGTATCAGCAAGTAATGTTGTACAACCCCCGCCATTTTTACATGGTAATGTTGCACAAGAATCTCCTTAAAAATTTAATTATCAATAGACAAGAAAAAACGAATATAAATAAAAACCTACGTAAACTACATATTGGACCTGTAAAACCAGCTTGACATAAACATTCTGCCATTGTTGGAGCTATTTGTCGACATCTACCACCATTTTGACATGTATTAGTTGAACAAACAGATGCTAGAAAATACAGAAATTTTATTTAATCAAATGAATTCATTTTGCCTACTCCATTCACAACGTGGTCCAGCAAAATCGATTGGACATATACATCGAATATTTGTACTATTATGATCACATGTTCCACCATTTAAGCATACATTTGAATTACATGATAAACCCATATCTATAAAATTCAATATAGAATTAAAATATTATTTTGTTTTTTATGAATATATTACATATTGAACAATCAAAATGTCCAAAACCCGATGAACAAAGACACATAAAATTATTTTGTGAACCAAGAGGAATACAAATACCTTGATTTAAACAAGGTTTATTTTGACATGTATTCGTATATTGACAACGATCGCCTGTTAAATAATCTGGACAAATACATTTATAATTTGGAGGATTTGTATCTTCAATTTGTTGACAGGTCGATGGATAACGACAAGTTGAACTGGTACATGATTTTAATATATCTAAATAAAATAGATAAATTACGATTGAAAACAGAATAAATTTACTTGAATTGCATGATTGTTCAATTAAACCATCTGGACAAATACAATAATAAGATGAATTCGATGTTTGAATACAAGTACCATTATGACCACAAGGTTTTTGTAAACAAAAATTGATAGAAAGTAAAGATATTTCACAATAGTTTCCCGTGTATCCTTGCGTACATAAACAACGTGTAATACTATTATTCGATGATCTATCAATAAAACAAGCGCCATTATTTAAACAAGTTGTATTGGTACATAGAGTTTGAATTGTTTCACATCTTTGAGAGAAAAAAAATATTTTAGGAAAATACTTATTGATATCTATAACTTACCGACTACCAGTTGTATTTGATGGACATTGACAATATGGTATATTTGTTTCGTTATTCAATAAACAAATACCTCCGTTTTGACATGGTGATGAAATACAACCATTTACTAAAATTATTCAATGATTTAGGATGGTATTCTTCAATTAACTATTACTTACAATATTCACAATGTTTTCCAAAATAACCAGTTGAACAATTACATCTATATAATCCATTTTCTATATTCGAATTTCGAATACAACTTCCATTATTCTTACATGGTATACTCGAACAGGGATTTATATCAATCTCACAATTTCTACCTGTTGTTCCATTTGGACAAAGACATGAATAATTACATATTTGTTCAGGACAGTTTGATGATACTATACAAGTACCTTGATGACATGGATTTGACAAGCAACTATTTTCTATAGATACAAATAATAAATAAAAATATTTTATTTTTCTTTCTTCGCTTACTCTTATCACATCGAGTACCAATATAATCATTATTACATTGACATTGATAATCTCCAGTAGTTGTCTTTGTACAATTTCCATTTATACAAGGATTTGATTGACATGGATTTGCTAAAATATTCAATTTTATTGTATTTATATGAAATATATTATTTATATCAACAAACTTAATTGACAAAATTTGCCTTGATAATGTTCTGAACATAAACAACTGCCATTACTTAAACAAATACCTCCATTTACACATTGACATATATTAAAAATAGTAATATCAGTTGAAAATAATGGTATTTGGCATAAGACACCTGTGTAATCAGGTTTACATTGACAAATAAATTGCATTGGAGATGTTTGAAGACAAATTCCATTGGATGAACATGGATCTTTCTGATCATGACAAGAGCCTAAAAAAAAGAATATAGAATGATATACAATCTCAATCGATATAATTGTACCATTAATAATTGCAGATATTGTTGAATCAGATTTACATGATGATGATGATGGAAAACAAGTACAGTTTCCAGTATCTAATGTAATATCTTGTAAACATGAACATGTTTTTGTTGTACAATTTGTGGTTAGACAACCGACTAAATTTAGAATTTGTTTTTAGTGCCTTGTATAAACATAAAAAAAATGTTTACTTACTTGAAACACAATTAATGAAATTGACACTTGTTTCAAGAGATTTAGAAAAAAAATTAGGTTGAAGATTAAAACTATTAGTACCATTAAGTAATGTATAAGTACCCATTGAAAACATTAAATATACATTGGATAGAAAATTAACATCATAAATATCTCCTGTTATACTCGATCGTTCGAATGTGACATATACATTCTGATCAGTAATATTACTTTGAATAACACAAAAATCTTGTTGAATATCAACTATTGGTATCATATGTTCATCAGAATATCTACAACAAAGTAGATAAGAAAAAAATGATTCATCTCATAAATTTCTGTTACCTATCTTGAACTATTCGACTGCTAGGAAAATACATTGCCATATCTATATTATTCTAATAATATTCAATATTAAAATTTAGAAAATATAAAGAAAAAAAATGCAAACCTTTGCAAATACTATATTAGACCAACCAAAAGCAATATAAGTAGATGTAAGATTAATATTAGAACTTGCTTGACCTTGAATAATAAATTGAACAGTATTCGAAGTAATATTATATTTCCATGAAATTGTAAATGAACCAATTGTTGTATTTTGAATAGGCCATATTCCACCAGAACATTGACTTTGTACTTCTAGAATACAAAAGAAATATTTTCTATTGTTATTTTTCATTGTAATAAACATACGTGTATAAATTTGTATGATTAATACGAGGAGTAAATATGGAAGATGTTTCATCTTCTTTCTCTTTATTGTTCAATGAAAATGAACAGTGATTGAAATCGGTTAATTTTGTTCTTTTTTTTTTCTTCTTTACTCAGTATATGAACTATTATTATTGTATGTGTATATATCCATTAAGAATGAAGAGAGAAGAGAGAAAAAAAATAGTAAAGAAAGGGAAGAATGAACGATATAGGTATAAGTTCATCGAACTTTTATGTTCTTGTTATTGATATGCACTTCTATTCATCTTACTCTCATCGTTTATATATATATATATATGAATGGCGTAAAACACTATTAATTTACATTGAGTGTTTGATTAAATTCAAATTTAACAATCTACTAGGCGTTATGTTGTCAAGTATATGTACATCAAAGTGCATGTCTTTTTTTTTATAGATCATACAATGTTCAAAGAACACTTGTCATATCAATCAATATTTTTCATACATAATCTTCATTAAAATGTAATATGATCAGTTCATAAATATGATTTATAATACCATTCGATGATTATATATAAATTCATCTACAATACACGAAGGTCATTATTCAATATGTATATCAATGGTCAGATTAGTAGACATATTGACTACATATGTGCTAGTTTAATAGTACAAAGAAATCCTTCTTTATTACTTTTTCGACATACGCATTGAAAGTTGTCATTTTGTGTTGTAATGATCTCAGGAATGGGATATCAGAAGATAGTCATTTAAACGTGAGATAAATATATCAAAATCGAACTGATATCATTCATTTATCGATTTTGAACAGAAGATTTAGTTCGTTACAGGAAGCGTTGCAAAAACACTATTTTGATTATGGACTTGGTTTTTTCACATTTCCAAATTTGTGATAGAAGATTCATAGTTATATATATCAAATATATTTTCTGAGATTTCTAGTTGATCTCTAGTATGGAAATCAGTTTGTTCCCCTTGTCATGAATAGAAGAATAAATCTTGTTGTTTCTAAAGCCTATTATTGAATAGAAAAAAACTTTTTATTCAGTTTCATTATTATCTTAATCATTCACAAGAACATGCAGCTTATTACGCAAATGACGATTGGTGATGCAGTCTTTTGAATTAATTATGTCATAAAATTAAGCAAATATTTAAAAATATAATCTTTTTTTCTGTATAAAGACGTCAGAAACTGATTTAACTTTGAAAAAAAACTTTTTAATTGCGTATTATTTTTAACTTATAATTCTAATTAAACTGTTATTCAATAAGAAATAGTCATCCTGTATAGCAAGGCTTGTGTTATATCCAGACAAAATATTATCTATATGAAACAGTTTGGAGATATTAACTATGAACTCATGATTAAATTTTGTCATGTTAATTTTTTTAGCATGTAATTTAGTTCGATCTTTCAAAAAAAAACTATACATATGGTTTTATATGTAAAAATGGAATAAAATAAATTTTATTGTAATGTCGTCATTTCGTATAATGGATACTGATTATTTTGCAAAAATGTAAAATTATGTCGTTTAGATATGTCTTTCTCTGAATTCTATTGTTAGAAACAGGTGATAAAGTTTATTAATTGTAGTAAATATATTAGTATTTACCTATGAATTTTATTGTTTATGTTAAATCAAATAAAAGTTGAAATAATGTAGTATAGATGAGTTTATTTTCTCCATTTAGATCATAAAAGAAAATAGTTAATTTCATAGACTCTATTGATTGTATAAATATTATCATAACCTGAATAATCATTGTAACTACTGTCCAGTTTGCTAATTTAATTACGACCGAATAACTTCAAATGAGCAAGACTAATCTCATCTTGATTTCGATTTATTCTTGGGGGTGTAGATAGAACTTGACATTATATTTTTAGTTTTACTCAAATCTTCAAAATTTGAGCGCCTTACAATCGTTTCATTGCACGAACCATTAAGCAAATATTTACTTGTATCACTATACCAATTCTTTACGGGAGTATTTCCCGTAATAAAAGAAATCAGACTATACATCCACAACATATCCATATATATACCGCAGCTTTCTCACTTTTCTTCATTATACGAGACCATGTTCAACAGTATTTCAATTCAATATCATATATATTATGCTTTTAATTTTTTCCGATTTTTCTTCTTCTTCTTTATTACAGGGAACACTCTTGTCAAGAATTAGAAATGTAAATATGTCTGAAAAAGTCATTTATACACGTACGTATGTATACGTATTATCTTATCAATCGGTTTCGTTCATTACGTTTTTATTATTTACAGAGTTGTTCTCTGTACGCGCGCGCGAGTCACTGAAAAATACAATTAGTTTAAAAATAATTGAACAAAAGCTTCTTTTATTAATTTATCATTTATTCTTCATAATTTGTCTTTTACAATTTCAATATTCTTTTTTACAGTTTTTATATTAGGATGAGTTGGAGGTAATGCACGTTGCCATATGTCCAGAGCACGTTTCAAATAAGATAGTGTTTTCGAATAGTCTCCCATATTATAATAAACAGAACCGATGTTGTTGTATGAAGTAGCCAAATCAGGATGATTTGAAGGAAGAGTTTGTTGTCGAATTTCAAGTGCTTTTTTGTAAAATGAAAGTGCTTTCGAGTACTCATCCATGTTGTCATACACGCTACCGATGTTGTTATAAGAAGTAGCCAATAAAGGATGATTTGAAGGAAGAGTTTTTTGACAGATTTCAAGTGCTTTTTCGTGTGATGAAAGTGCTTTTCAGTACTCTTCCATTTTTTCATACGCACCACCGATGTTGTTGAGAGAGGCAGCCAAATCAGGTTGATTTGAAGGAAGACTTTTTTGATAGATTTCAAGTGCTTTTTCGTATGATAAAAGTGCTTTCGAGTACTCTTCCATTTTCTCATACGCACCACCGATGTTGTTGAGAGAGGCAGCCAAATCAGGATGATTTGAAGGAAGACTTTTTTGTCGAATTTCAAGTGCTTTTTCATAATATGAAAGTGCTTTTGCGTACTCTCCCATATTGGCATACACCAAACCGATGTTGTTGTAAGAAGTGGCTAGTAAAGGATAATTTGGAGGGAGACTTTTTTGTTTAATTGCGAGTGCTTTTTCGTGAGAAGAAATTGTTTTCGAGTACTCTCCCATCTTGTCATACGGATTACCGATGTTGTTGAAGGAGGTATCCAAATGCGGATGATTTGAAGGAAGAGTTTTTTGTTGAATTTCAAGTGCTTTTTCGTAAAATGATAGTGCGTTCGAATACTCTCCAGTATTGTCATACAGCAAACCAATGTTGTTGTATGATGTAGCCAGATCAGGATGATTTGAAGGAAGAGTTTTTTGTCGAATTTCAAGTGCTTTTTTGTAAAATGAAAGTGCTTTCGAGTACTCTCTCATGTTGTCATACACCAAACCAATGTTATTGTATGAAATAGCCAAACGAGGATCATTTGAAGGAAGAGTTTTGTTATTAGTTTCAAGTGTTTTTTCATGAGATGAAAGTGCTTTTGAGTACTCGCCCGTTCTGTCATACACCACACCGATATTGTTGAAAGCAGTAGCCAATGCAGGATGATTTGAAGGAAGACTTTGTTGACATATTTCAAGTGCTTTTTCGTAATAACAAATAGCCTTTTCATAATCACCTTGGGTATCTCTGATATATCCCAGCTGATTATAATAAAACGCTTTTTCCTTCTCATCAAATGTCTGTTCGAGTAATACATTATAAAGTTCTTCCACTTTATTAAATTGACCAATTGTAAGCAATAAGTTACCTAATTTATGCCATCCAGTACGATCACCAGCTTCTTTTCGTATCTGATCAGTAAGTAATCGTAGTTGTGGGTCATCATCCGATGTTAATCGTAATTCAACTTGATAAAGTTGACTCTTATTTTCCAGTTGTTTAACTGCACCCACTCGAAAGACGGTGTGCATTGAGAAGAGAATTTCATCCTCTTCCCTAAAATAGCTCAGCTCCTTGATAGAAGCAAATGGTACTGATTTTATATTGGGATCAACAGACATTTCAAATAGAATACCTACTGTGTCAACATTTTCTGACGCACTATGGGCAAGTCCGAGAGCTATGTCTTGTTCCATACTAGTGGATAAAAAGTTGTTGAAAGACATTAAGCAACCTTTTGCTCTTTGTAGTTTTTCGAAATTTGTTTTGGATAGACCTTGCCCCCGGTAAACTATGAATGGTTTGTCATGGTAACTATTAATCTGCTGTTGGTGTAACTGTTGAATTTGTAGATGAAGATCATGAATAAAAAAACCCATATTAATAATAATATCGCCTTCCATAGAGCGAAGAGCATAATTCAGCATAGAATAGATAAATGATGGGTAGGTATACCACTAAATAGCAGACTGAGCATCATATTTGTTTTCAAATTCATCAATATTTTTTTCCGATCCACTGTCAAGATGTCGGCAATAAGCTGTAAATTGTTTAATGGCTTGTTTACCATGTTCCATATTTAGAAGAATATCCTTGAATATTTGGGTATACATAAATGTTGGATCCACCTGATTTAAACCATCAGTTGAAGACATTTCATTTACGGTGACAAAGCTCATAGCAATTGAGTTTTGCTTGTATTGCTTGACATCCAGTTGTAATGTTTGATACAGGTCGTTGATGTCAGTATGGACACTTTTGATTTTTTGCCAGTTTTTGGTCCATTCTTCAGGTAAGGATTTGATGCTACTGAAGATATAAACACCATCCAACTGAGAAATATCATGGATGAGAGGTATAATGTGTTGAGCAATAATGTTCTCGACAACGAGAAAAGACTTGATGTCTTCACTATCGGAAAGAAAATCGATACATTGATCTCTCTGTGTAAAGACGCTGACATTGTCGGCACCGGTTTGTATTTGTGCTAAAATATGTTTGTAATCTTTGTTTGTTTCGTCCAAAGACTCATCTAAACAAATGAGTAAATAATTTTGTACTATACGTCTCTGTCGTTCGATACTTTTAGGTATTGTGACCATTTGTTATATTATGTGAGTTTTTCGATTGAATAGACAAAAATGAATGTTATAGCATGATATATCTCTTGCCGTATAGAATGCTGATTCTCTTTCATTTCCTCACGTACTACTGATATCGTTGAGTATTTAAGAAGCACATATTGTGAAGAGAAGGATGATTGTTGTTTTATGAAAGAGGAAGAAAAAAGAACAAAAAGGAGTGATAACAATGAAGGAGATGAAAAAGCTCGATTATTTATATGAGAATGGAATCTCTTTATCTAACAATTGTACGGCGTCATAACTATCTTCATAAGTTTATTTAGATTAATTATAATAGAACTTTGTCCTCTGTATACTTTCATATACATTATAGAGCTAGGTGACGACAAAGAACAAAAAAAAGAATTCATTTTTTTCAACTTTCTTCGCAGATGAGAGATAATATCATCGTTAACAGAAAAAAAAATATATTTTCTTTGTAAATAAAACAGGTTGAAAGTCTCGCACCATTTTCTTTTGTGTTGGAATCGTACATTGGAATAACACAAGAATACAAATTAAGTGATTGTATTTTTTGTGAACGCCCAATAAAATCTGCTCAGTCTTGTACACATATTATTAGCAAAAAGAGTAAATAATAACGAACATTAAACTCATTATTCGATAAATTAACAATTTATACAATATTAGTATCATAATTAAAACTAGCAGAAGCACTCGTCGTTACAGTAAAACTGAGAATCTGAATGGGTGTGCTTCTACATTTAAACCCGAACACACTCACATCTATCCTCAAGATTAAAATTACGACTAAATTTTCTTGTTTAACCTACTTGAATTGTCTTTCACAACTAAGAATTCTAAAGATACAATGAGCAATGAACGTTTTCCATTCATTCAATTTGAGACATTCATTGAATGATGCTGTCAAAGTAACATGACATTTAAACGAGTTATTCTGAAGTTGTGTATTATATTATTTATTCTAAGGAAATGTGGTCAACAATAATTCAATATAAAAATATTTTTGATCATTTCGATTTCTAGGATATATTTATTTTGAATGAAAAAAGCTGAAACAATATAGAAATTCCATTAATGAATGAACAATTTGCTTATCTTATTGAAGGATATGATTAATCCCATAGACAAGGTCGTTATTTACATATTTATTCACTAACATTTAACTTTAGTAGACTGGACGGATTTCGTTCATTTTATTCTGTTCATCATCTTTATTCTAATGAAACTTTTCTCGACGGTTGTTTTGTTTCTTTTCAATCTTTATCCAAATACACGCCAAATATTATATCAATCGATTATAATTTTAACTTTTATCATGTAATTGATATGACTGTTCCATGTATTATTATTGGTGAGGACTTATTTCATCATATTCTCACTCTTAGATTTATATCTCATTCATACATCTATGATGCTTTTGCTTATGAGCATCATTCATTGTCATCTATTGTATGTCTATATCTACAAAAAGGAAACTTTAAATCATTCGGTATTTTAACACAACGTTTACTACATATCCCAGTGAAAAATTGTCAGATTATACCTCATTATGGAACACCTTATGGACAATATCTTAAAGAAGCCTTGTCTCTTGCACAAGAACTGAACTGTCATCTGCATGATCTCAAGCTCGATTTTAAACGTGATGTTGCGATTTTTTATCTTGAAAAATCATAGATAATTACATAGGGTGTGGGTGCGAGTATTATACTAATCATAATGGCAAACTCACCCCACACCCACACTCTCAAAATTTTTTTTCAAAGCCTTCCAGTATTCTGCGTATAAGAACGTCCCATTTTTCTGTTGTTAATATTATTTTTATCTTTCTACATACTGACAATACAATTCGCATGATGTCATTATTTATATTTATTCAATAAAATAATGATATATATTATTGACAAATATTTGAAATATTCAAGTTCATGCCATTTTGACACAAATGAATTAAATATGATGCTATTCAAATAATATGATATTAGCAAATAAAAATTATATTATCGACAAAAATAATACATTTAATAGATCAATTCCCGTGTCTAGACCCTATCCTTACAGTCTAGGAAAAATCTTATCTTAAAGTTGAATTTTTTATCAACATAATTGTTTTCAGTTTAAAAGTTTTCATATGACAATCGCCAGCAACTGCTCTCTGGTAGTCCGCCAATGTTTTGATTCAAGAAAAAAAAAGAAATAATGTTTTTTTTATCTGGAAAATGACAGGTTCTTCATCGATTCAATGACAGTAATAAGAAATTATATCAATATTGAACTTGCGCTAAAAAAGAATTAACACGTATATTCTTGCTACGCAGTATATATTGTCACAATCATTGAGCAGTTACATATAGTTAGAAGGCAAATGCTGGTGGCGTTGATAATCATTACGGGAGTTTCTTTTGTCAGCGTAAGTGCAGATGAGATTTATCTATATAAAACGATAATCGAATCTGATATTGATGATTTTTATGATTGTTTCTCATATGGAGATATAAAATTATGTCGCCGTCCAGATTATTTACCAATCGAATTAGTCAGAGATGCATCAACTTGTTTTCACGACGGAATCTCCTATTTATTTAGTAATTTATCTGCAATGCAGATAACAATTGATGAAGTTTTACAATGGAATACAAGTATTGAGAAAGCGGATGCTTATGGTGCCTATCTAAACAATCAATCCAATGATCAATTTGTATGCAAATGTATTCGTCCAAATACATTCGGAATAATGTGTGAATATCAATTTATTTTTAATCAAACATGGAATGATGAAATTACAACACAATTTCTTATGAAAACACAGGATCCTAGTACAAATCAAGAGTATGGAGATACATTATGCTATGAAACATTAGAATGTAATCACGGTTTACTTTGTCTCGACTGGCGATATATATGCGATGGTCGACAACAATGTATGAATGGAGTCGATGAAGAAAATTGTGATTTACTCGAATTTAATGAATGCGATAAAAACGAATTTCGATGTCGAAACGGAATGTGTATTGCTGATCGTTTTTGGTTAGATGGTATGTTTGCGTTTAGAAATACTATAGATTAATGAGAAAACCTTGAGGGTGAGAGTGTGGGTGATAAAAGCATTCATACCCTCATTTATCACGCTTTCTTGTAAAATTAGAAGATTTGCTTTTCTTTTAAGGTATGTATGATTGTATGGACTGGAGTGATGAAAATGACCCTGGTGCTAATATGAGATGTGATTCACGCACATCATTACCGAATTTTCATTGCGATGAACGATTGTGTCGCTTTGAAGAGTTCTCATGTGGTAATGGTGGCTGCATCTCGATGAGAAATCGTTTTATATTTGACGACTCTAGTGTACCGGACGAGCATTGTTATACGATGCGTGAATCTCAATACATATGCGAATTAAATGCGTATGGGAATAGATTATGGACTACAACTGATGGTCGATGTGTACATGATCCAAATTATAAAGACGAGTCCAACGAAGATGATGAATGGTATAATCCATGGGATATTTGTCCCTATTTATTGAAATGTTTATTTACAAAAGGTCTTGAAAAACATTGTCCTTGCAACTCAGATGAAGACTGTGTTCCATTGATGAAAATTAGCTGCTTACAGGAGTTGATATTATACCCGGAAGGAGCATTGCTAACGCCATACTTATGGACACTCTATGAAATTAATACACATGACTGGAAGAATGGTGTTGCTCCTGATCGTTTAATTTTTGACGGAAGTCTCAGATGTCGAGGTTACAATGGTCAACATTTTTCTATAAGAAATTATCTCAGTGCTTACTTTCATCTCTTTTATCTAGATACAGTTTTTTGCTTGCTTGTCGAAGTAAATAATGATATACGAGAAAATACTTCGATGTACGATCTCAATTGTTATAACGAATCAATTACATTTAATGGCTTTCAGTATCAAGTCGACGATGTTTGTAAAGGAACGCATCAGTGTATATCGAGATATCGTTTGAATGATGGTTTTGTGGATTGTTATTATGGTGAAGATGAAAACATTAACTTTATTAATCAATCAAGCACATGTTTCAATCAAGAAAAGTATCGTTTTAAATGTTCACATTCCCAGTCTACATGTTATTATTCGAAAAAAATTGGTAATAACATCTTTGATTGTGATAATAAACAAGATGAAGTTACGAAAATGAATCAGTTAATGTTGATAAGTTTACAAGAAAAATGTCGACCAGGATGGGATATAAGTAATTGTTACTTGTTGAGAAAATATATTGAACATTCATCAACATTATTTGTTGATTTCAATGAAAATGAACTAGTTGATTATCAATCGTCTTCTATCACACCATTTCGATATTATTGCGATACATTATGGGATATTGTTAATCACGATGATGAACTTCCAACGAATTGTTTTTATTGGCATTGTCGTCCGAGTGAATATCAATGTGAAACTTATCAATGTATTCCCAAAGAATGGGTCTGTGATGGTGAATGGGACTGTCCCGATGCATCGGATGAACAGAAGATTTTTACAATGCGAAATCTTTCGGAACATAATCTTCGATATTTCAATCTTACAGATTTAAAAATTAAATGTTCGAATACTTATCCAAGTACAAAACAACCATTTTTTAATAAATGTAATTTATCAGAAGAATATCCATGTTTTCGAAACAATGTTACGAATCCATTAGATTTAACTGAAAATCATCCTTGTGTTCCATTGACGAAAATTGGTGATGGAATTAGCGATTGTCACGATGGATGGGATGAGAGAAATATGATTGAAATTATTTCAATAAATCAAGTGCTTGGCTATTATTTGATTTGTTCACATAATTCTCTACCTATCGAATATGATAAGATTTGTAAGAAACGATGTGTAATTACAAGTGATGATGAAACGATGTGTTTTTATAAAAGTAAGAATGTATCATGGTGTTCTGGTCCAAACGATGTCGTATGTCTTGATGGGACATGTCGCTTAGACGCACGTTGTGATGAGAAAACTCAATGTCCATATGGAGAAGATGAATATCGATGTGTTCTATTGGAAAAAACATTCTTAGGTTTTAGTAATGATTTAACAAACTATCGAGGCTCAAAAAAACTTGAACGTATGTTTACATTCAGTGAATTTTATTCTCTAATATCATCTGGAATAAGTGTTTCGATGGAAACCGAATTGCATATTTCAGATTCAAAAGAGAAACATTCATTATACGATCAAATATTCTATTGTAATCGTGGTGTTTCTTTTATAAATGAAAACTTCGATGGTCCTTCTACAGTATGTTTTTGTCCAATATCTTATTATGGATCTTTCTGTCAATATTTTTCGGATCGTTTAACCATTGTCATTTATATCGATTGGACGAATTCTTTATTTGTGAATTCGATGGATAATTCAATTGTAATTAAAATCGTTGCTTTATTTTTATTTAACAAAACAAATATAATCGATTCTCATGTATTTCATATTCGTCCTGCTCTATACGATGAAAACGAGAAAGAAAGTTTTGCTTTTCATTATCCTCGATTTTCATCAATGCTTGAACATAAACAAAATCGCTATCGTAATCGGAAGTCTATTATAGAAGAACATCCATATTCAATTCAATTCGAAGGTTATCATTTAGGTTTTAATCAATTATCATTGATTGGAATTTGGCATTATCCAATTTATTTTGATTTTCTACCATCATTTCGTTTAGCTAAAGTTTTACAATTTGGAAAATATCCAAATTCATGTAAACAGAATTCCTGTCCAACAAATCATATTTGTTCTCCTATCATTAATCAAAACTCAAGTTTTACATGTCTCAGTGATATTCAATGCGAAAATTATTGTTTTCCCGGATCAATTTGTAAAGTACGTGATAATAATCTTCCATTATGCTTATGTCCTTTGGGAAGATTTGGTCCACGATGTTATTTATTACACAATAAATGTTTATCAAATCCTTGTCTAAATAATGGAACATGTTTAGAAAGATTTGATTATACTAAAAAAAGGCTATTTATTTGTTTATGTTCAAAGAAATTTGAGGGTGATCAATGTGAAAAGAAAAAAACATCGATATCTTTTCATATCGAAGGTAATCTAACGAATATCAGAGCATCTGTTGTGCAATATTATAGTTATGATGAAATTCAATTCAATCTAATATTAATCGAACAACATGTCTTTCATTCAATTATATCAATGAGTGAATTTTATTTCATTGGAATCATCAAACCAATAATAGTTCTTCTGGTATTATTTGATAAAGACTATCATGGACACTATCATCTTCTTTATTTTGAAAAATATGTCGTAACGTTTAATATAACTAGTCTATTATCATCTGACAATCAATGTTATTTATCAAATGATCTTCTTAAGAATTCATCGAAACCAGGTAAGATTTGTTGAGTGTAGAAACAGGATGTCGATGGGACCGCTGATAGGCGACTGAGAGTAGCGAACAGATACTCACACCCACAAGATAAGAATTACGTTTATTTTTTTTCTATTAATTAGATAATATTCCACCAGTATTTTTTTATCATAAAATTTGTAACGAAAGAAAATTATTGAATATTTCTATTCAATGTTTTTATGATCAATCATATCTTTGCATATGTGGAAAAGATAATTCTTATGCTGAATGTTTTGCGTTTAATCCTGCATTAACTCATTGTTCAAAATGTTTTTCTAATGGTCATTGTATTCAAGGTAATCTTAAAGATACAAATGATTTCATTTGTTTATGTCCGACATGTTATTATGGTCGTCGTTGCCAATTTAGTACAAATATTTTAAGTTTTACATTGGATTCGCTTATGTTTGAAAGTATCTCTACTATTCAATATAGTTGTTTAGTTTTAACAATTCTGATCTTTTTATTTGGTTTATTAAGTAATTTTTGTAGTTTTATTACATTTCGACGACCTAAAATACGTCAAGTTGGTGTTGGTAATTATCTATTCATCGGAAGTGTGATTAATCAAGCATCATTATGCTTTTTATTATTGAAAATCGTTTATTTAGTATTAAATCATTTCTCTATGTTCGATCAAACACCTTCAATGAATCTTATTTTATGTAAAACAATTTCATATATTTTATCAATTTTAACTCGTTCAATTTATTGGCTTACAAGTTGTATATCAGTAGAACGATTAATTCTGATTAAATTTCCAACATCAATATTCGTTAAGAAACCACGTTTAGCTATTGGGATAAGTATTGGAACAATATTAATCCTGTGTGCTATGCATATTCATGAAATTATTTTCTATACGACAATTGAAGATGTGAATTCTGAAAAAGTATGTGCGATTGATTTAACTAAAGACTTTGTCTTTACCTACAATCGTGTCTCGATATTTATTCATCATTTCTGTCCATTTACAATTCAAATTATCTGTATTACTTTACTGATTATCTTTGCTGCACGTTCTCGTGCTAAAGTACAAAAATCTCAAATGAATTTTTATCAAATTCTTCGAAAACAATTTCGAAACCAACGCGAACTTTATATAACACCTATTATTATCATTTTATCATCATTACCACAGATTATTCTATCATTTAGCTTTGCTTGTACGCACTTTTCCAATGGAAAAAGATATGGTTTACTTTTTGCTTATTTATTATCCTATTTACCGCAAACGCTTGGATTTTTACTCTATGTTTTGCCATCGACGTTCTATAAATCTGAATTTATTCAAACAAACATCGGACAATTCCTTTTGAAAAGATCAATTATCGCCAAACAAACAATAACAACGAGCAAATAATTGATATTATTCTTATTGATTTAGTTTTTTGTAAAGGGTGTGGGTGTGGATCTGTGTTCTCCATCTATATCCGAAACCACCCACATCTAAATCGACAACTAGATTATAATCAGTAAGAAAAATAAAAATAAAAAATAACAAAAATGGTCCTTAAGATTATGTATATGGTCTCATAACATGAGATCCTAACCGATTTGTAGACAAAAGTTAGTATTAATCGTACGTTTCGCTTATTTTCATAATTTGTCTAAAAAGTAAAGTATTTAAATCTAGAAGTGTGAACAAGTCATCTATCTATTCTTGGAATGGTCATTCACTAGATTTAAACGAATAACTCATTAGAAAAGAATCGAAGATTAACATAAATAAGTCATCAAAATATTTCTTTCTTATTTTCCATTTAATTAATTCATTTTTTTTTGTATTACATAATTTTATTCTATGGTTGTATAATCTTACAGAAACAACTCGTATGAGTACTCATGCTGGCAAGTGGTACTCGCTCGATGAGTACTTTCACTAGGATTAAAAGAACGTTCACTGGTAATTAAATTATGCGCAGTTTCTATTATAATTGGTTTTCTAATCGGTTTATTGAATGGTTTTCCATAATCGTAATTCTCGTAAAGTAGGATTTGGAATTTATACTCGATTATTTTTACTTTGATTGTCAGTATGTTAATTATAAAATTCTGATTTGTAGGGGTAGATGGGTGTAGATCTGGGTATGGGTGCAATATAAAGATGATACCCTCTCTCATCTCATGCACACTGATATCTACGCCCTTAAAACTTTTTGATTAACTTATGTAAATATTTATTGTTGAGTAAAAATAGTTGTTTACAACAGTGTTACAAGATACTTGATTACAATAAACAAAGAAACTCACAATAGTACAACATTCAATAGTTAGTCTCATATTACGAGTAATTGGTGTTAATAATCATGAACAACATATTAACGTTTGATAATATTTTTGACTTCATATCGGAATGTTTTCGACATGAGAAAATTGGTATAAAAGCCAACCAAAAATGG